GAGCTGGAGGAACACAGCAAGTCAGGCAGCATCAGAGGAGCAGGAAAGCTGATGTTTCAGTTTGGGACCTTTCTTCAGAAATAGGGCCCCATTTCTGAAGAAGGGTCCCGACCCAAAGCGTCAGCTTTCCTGGTCCTCTGATTCTGCCTGGCCTGCTGTGTTCCTCCAGCTCCACACTGTTATTTCTGACTCCAGCACCAACAGTTCTTACTATCACATATTGTGACATTATATAGCATTGCACCTGTGAAGCCCTGATCACGAATTTCCTGGGGATCATGCCTGAGCAGAAATTCAACATGGATCAGCTGATTAAGTCCTGCAGTTACAAGCAGGGTAGAGGCTGAATATTTCCTGGTAAGTATCTCACCAACTGCAGGGAACAAGTCAGGAGGGTGATGAAATACTCTCCACTCGAATGAACAACTGCAGCTGCAACTAAATTCAATAAACTGAACACCATACTGACAAAGCAACCCGGCTGTTTGTAACCCATTAACTGACATAAATAACCGGCACTGCATGTAATGGCTGTGGTGAACATACATATCAGGGATATAAGATGGCCTAGTGTCCTTCAAGCCTGCTTTACCATTCAATAAGATCGTGGCTGATGTGTTTATGTTTTGAATTCCATATTCTCCTCTATTCTCAATAACCTTTGATTCCACAGCTTAACAAGAATCTACCTCCACCTTAAATGTATTCAATAACACTGCTTCCATCATCTTCTGAGGCAGAGTTCCAAAGGGCACAACTCTCAGAGAAAAGTTTCTTCCGCATTTTGATCTTAAGAGGGCAATCCCTAATTTTAAAATATTGTCCCCTAATTCTGGACTCACCTATATCCTTTCCATGTTCACCTTGTCAAGACCAGTCAGGATTCTATGTCTCTCAATCAAATCACCTCTTGCTTATCTCAACTCCAGTGGAAACCAGCTCAGCCTGTCCAATCTTTCCTCCAAAGACAACCTGCTCATTCAAAGTGTCAAACTAGTAAACCTCGTCTGAACTGCTTTCAACATATTTACATCCTTTGTTAAATAGAGACCAAAACTGGACAAGTATTCGAGATGTGATCTCACCAATATCCTGTTGAAGCATAACATCTTTACTTTTATATTCAATTCCTCTCGTAACAGAGGTGAGATTCCGTGAGCCTTATTAATAATGGCTGTAGTTGAATACTAATTTTTTTGTAATTCACATACACAAAAACATCTGGGTCCCACTGCACCTTGGATTTCTGCAGTGGTTCTCTCTGTTAAAGTAATATCCTGCTTTGTATCTGTTTCTTGTCGAAATGAGCAACTTCATATTTTCCCACATTTTACTCCATCTGCCAGATTTTTGCCCACTCACTCAATGTAACAAATCTGTCTGCATCCTCCTTATGTTCATTTCACAAAATACTTTCCTGCTTTGTGTCATTTGCAAATTTACATGACCATGCCCCTGATCCCCTCATTCAAGTCACAAAAACAAAGTTGCTGGAAAAGCTCAGCAGGTCTTGCAGCATCTGTGAAGGAGAAAACAGAGTTCACGTTTCGGGTCCGGTGACCCTTCCCCAGAACTCAGAACCTTCCTCAGAACCCCTCATTCAAATCACTTTTAAAAATTGTAAGAGATTGAGGGACTAGCACAGACCTCTTTGGAACCCTACACATCACAACCGACTTATCATTGATGTATGCTGTCTATTTTCTACCAACCACCTATCCTCTTTCCATGCTAGTATGCTACACTTACAGCATGAGCTTCAGTTTTGCACAAGAACTTTTTATGTGGCAGGTTGTGAAATGCCTTCTGGAAATCCAAGTACAGTACATCTATAGGCTCCACTGCACATGTTACTCCTTCAAGGAATTCCAATAAATTGGTTAAGTATGGCCTCCCCTTCATAAAAGCAGTGTGTATTATCTACGGCAACATGACAAAGGCTTCTTCAGTAGCACCGTACAAATACTTTGCCACTTATACGCATATATTAGGGCAGCAATGCATATGAACACTAAAATGTCTAGGTTCTTTCATAGTTCTTCTTTGGTCAGATATCATCATTCCCTCATCATTGGAGAATCAAAATACTGAACACCCTCCCTAATATCACTGAGAGTATCTTCTCCACGTTAACTTCAAATAGTCCAAGGAGGAGGGAGGCAGGGCAACACCAGCACCTACTTAAGGGCACTTGGGGATTGTCAATAAATGTAAGCCTTGTCATACACCCCAAGAACAAATAATTAAAATAAATACAATTACATACATAAGTGTTTGCATACTGACCAAAAAATGTGAACAGAAATGAGATTAACTGGAAAGACAGATTCCTTTTCTTACAGCCTACCTAGGTTGACACAAAAACTCAACCAATAGTTGAAAAAGTAACCTTTAACAAAGGACTTCATGTTGTGGAAGCACTTTCACTGTTTCTTCTCTCAGAAAGACAGAAGTGTGACTACACCATGCTCATTCTACAACAACTTCTGAAGAAAGAATCCAAAGCTTGCAAAAACTGAATGTAAAACACATGTCTAGATTGTTGGGGTGCGGGAGCTGAGAAACTTCTCAGTCTCCACTTTTGATTTGATTTTTTTTCGGGTGGGTGGCAGATAGTGAGTAGGACCAGGATGTGATGGAGTCAGCCCACTATCCTGAGATGCAGATTGGAGGGGTCACAGGTGTTGCCGAATGCTGTGGCAGGTTGTTCAAAAGCCTTGTTCTCAGTTCTCTGGTACTTTGACCCAGCTGCTTTCTTAAACGTTACATCCTTTGGCCCTCACTCCTCTCATCCCCTCTCTGTGCCTTACATTACAACCCTTGCTGTCCCCAACCCAACTGTCCCTCAGAACCTTTGTCCTTACATTCCTAATTGCCCCCTCATACACCTCAATAGCCTTCATATCATCAATGTCTTATCTCCACCCATTCCATAACTATGGTTCTTATGTTAACTTAGTACCAACTCACAGTTCTCCTCCATTCATCACCCTTTATGCTGACATACTCCATATCAACTGAACCACTATCCACCAGGAAGACATTGGGAGCCTTGTTGAGTGGAAATAAGAAAAGGTTCTAATTATCTACTACATCGTTCACTAGATTTAAAAAAACTCCATGCAACAAAGTCCATTCAAAACACTTAAATTTCAAATATTTAATTCCTTATCAAAACAATAAACTTGTATTATAACCCAGTGAAGGCAGCTGATTCTTTCATAACCTCTATGAGCTGTCAATCAAATTGTGAACATATGTACACCATGAAAATGACGGACTGTGCAAAGCAGCCAAGCAATATGAACATTATAATAATAGTACTTAGTGTAATATCAACAATCAGTAATGAAATAGCTAAGACATATTCTGTCAATTCTCATTAACTTGGGCAAATATATTTGCAATATTTTAAATAACTTAACAGCCTCATTACCTGCCCTTCAAGAACATTTACAACTTCTCTAAAGATTTATAACTTCCGCACTATGAAATAAGGCTTCTGCGAATACAGTGTTTGTTCAAACTCAGCACACTGTTTAAATGGCTTTGATGAGTTTGGGATTTCCACATGTGGAAGTCACATCCCACCCCATTTGCCTCTGCTCCACACATCCCTGTAAAATAGGATGTCAGAAATAAGGTTAGAGCTACCAAATCTGTGTCTTACCTATCATTTTTAGAAGAGCTCAGATAGCTTAAGACATCACAATATATCTAGGCTACAATATCACATCTTAGGATATTTTAATTGACGAAGTGAAATTCAGAAAAATCATGGACAGTATTTTCAAATCATTTTTTAAACATGCCTCTACAGTTTTATTTTGCAGGGTTCAACACAGCCATAAAAAGATTCTAATTTATTGGAACATAGTACTCCCTTAAGTACACTGATTTATTTTTATTTCCCTGAAAGTTTCAATGATTTAAAACACTTTTAAGATAATTAAGAGAACAGTTGTAGGGTAGTTTCAAAAATGCATACTGCTTCAAGTGTGTGCCTTTTGGATACAGTGCCGTCACAGTCTATGCAGTCTGGTAGACAGGTGTTAAAACACTACTGTTGTAATAAAATTAGCAGCCTTATAAACAACATCAAAACATTTATATTTTTTAATTAACAAACAAAAATGGTGCAAAATTCTTCTAAAATTACATAATCCAACACAATGCATTTTAGCAGATAGAAGGTGCCGTATTTTACTTATAGCAATTGCTTACATCAAGTCCCCTACAGTTTAAAAGAGAAAACAAGAAACTTAACCAGCATGGGAAGTGGAGTGCAGGGAGCATTTAGGTTGATGACCCCAGCTTTATGAAATTAAAGCAAATACATGGTGGTGCAGCAGGTGTGGAGGGAAAAAGGGTAGAGGGAAAAACGTTATCAATGAACAGAGAGTTGGCTCATTTCCCATGTTCTAGTGCACAAAATAAACCTAACGAATATGATTGTTAATTTTGTGGCCTGCATAGTTCACTAAAACTATCAAGTACATTAAATTTAAAAATAAAAATTAGAAAACTGTGTGATAATTTAGTCACCATCTTATATGTAGAACAGATTGCCAAAATGATAGAGAGTGTAACAGCTCCACTGCTTTGATTCAACTTATCTAGAATGTGAAAAAACAATGAAAAACTATGCTTTTCTCCATAGAAGAAATATTTAATATATTTGTAGTCTTTTACAAATGTAAAATAGGGACTAAAGGTGGTATTGCAATAACAAGAAGAGTCCAAAAACACATTTTGAAATAAGGAAATCTGTTCATATGTGATGAAAATGAATTTAAAAAAACCCTTCCTAATGAGTGTTTCTTTACATTTTACAGTTTGTTGAAATTAGAGAGAAAATTTTAATGATGCAGAAGGCAACCTTAATCTACCAAATCCGTAAAGAGGATAGCTTTGATAACAATTTATACAGACCTGTAAAACAATTACAGCGTATTTGAAACCTTTTACAGAGATGCAATGTTTACAAATCTGATGCTTACAAAGCATGATTTGGTCGCTTTGGAGGTGGTGGAGGCATTAGTTCAGAGTCCATATCCAGAGACCTTTTCCTTGGCTCTCTTTGGGATTGCATCTGATTCCGTTCAATGAACTCAAACAGGAATTCCTTCGTAACTGGATTATTGATACTGCCACAAACAGCTGGAAAAAGAAGATGGCAATTACAGTGAGATTGGAATTCTTTAAAGTGTCACTACAGCCTTGCAACCATGTGTCTGAATAAGTTGGGTATCTGCAACAATTTTGTTTGAAGCGATGATAAGGATGTATGCTTGCTGTCACTTAAAAGATTTGTGAATAATTTAAAAATCATAATTATTTTAACTTCCTTGCTAGTCCATAAAAATAGTGCACTAGCAGACAGAAAAATGAACTGTACATAAAATGCACATTCACAAGAACATAGTTAAGCAAAGTAGTTTCTGAAATGCCAGTACCTTCAGTTACCATTTCAGATAGAAACATTTGTCTAAATAAAAACCGAAAGAACTGCAGATGCTGTAAATCAGGATCAAAAACTGAAGTTGCTGGAAAAGCTCAGCAGGTCTGGCAGCATCTGTGAAGAAAACATCAGAGTTAACGTTTCGGGT